TCCAACCCTAACCATTCTATGAATTCTATGAAAGTTTTTCTATGCAAGCATAGCATCACAGTGAAGCCGACCAAGCCTTTAAACAGCAGCAACATTAAAATCTCCTCAAAATCCTTTACCTTTCTGGGTACCCCATTGATGTGAAGTTTCACCATGTATTTGCCACATGGATTATACTCTGGTTCTCCTTTCTTATTCTGAGGGTAAATTATACTGTAAAAAAAGAGGAAATTGTGACATAAATTACTTGGCTGTACATACACTGATAGAAGTAGGATTAACAGTCTCTTTCCAGAATTTACACTGAACATAAATCTGGAATTTTTAATGAAAGAGCAACTCAAACTTAGTAAAAACGACAATAATGTTTAAATAGGTCTTATTTTTCAAGGCCTTGCTCTTGCTGTAGTAAGAACATAAGTAACCTAATTGTTTCTTCAACAGAAGCAAGGCAAACAAATTTATCTTACTATTAAGCAAACTGTATTTACATATCTGTAATATAAATACAGTATTTGCCTAAATGACAAGTCAAACATTTGAAGAAGGAGAAGACAGTGCAGAACTCACTGCTCTTGAAAAAGAATAAAAGCTCAGTTCTAACGAGTACAGGTTAAATAAAAAAAAAAATCATCCAGGAACAGCATTCACACACAGATCTGGTGACGGGCTCCTGGCAGAGTCTGCCAAACCCCCGACAGATTTATCACTGGACACCAGTCAAGTGCAACTGAGCTAGTGTTGTTAACATTGGTTCTACAATGAGTAGCAAGATGGACCACTGGCTGCATAGCTGGCATAGCAAAGTAGGAAAATCAGCCTATAAGGCATTATAATTCATATTCAAAACTAAACAAACCCTTCCAGACTACTTATTACTCCTCAAAGCACACCTGAAGCTGGACTCCAGTGTCTGTATACATACTTATATAAAGTTGACTTCCTTCTCAGAAGTGCTGAAGCCACACGGGTCCCAGGGAGACAAAGGTGAAACAAAGGCTTTTTTCCCCACTGTCGTATAACATATTGCAAGAGCTTGGCACTAGTAAGTCCAAAGAGATCTTAGAAAGCCACAGCTGCTCACCTTGTGATCAATTTTTTGTTGTATCTTCTTTCATACGCTGCGCTGATGGCAAGTGATGCCACGAAAGAACAATCCGACACCACTGTCTGTAAAGAAAAGAACACCAGCGAGGACGTTTACTAGTAACTTTGACACTGAAAGACAAACGGGGTGTGCGGAGGGAAGGAAAACCCTAATTCTCTTCAAAAGGGAAAGATTTGAGCGAAGAGAAGCAAAGTTACTACTGAAAAGGCAGGAAGGGGATGCCTGCTGAAAAAAAG